TGGGATCGGGGATGCCGAGCTTCCCGAGGCCAGCGGTTGCCTCGTGCCTCAGTTTCCCCATCGGGCGCTCCAGGCTCAGGCGGCCGCGCACGTGTGGGTGTCAGCGGGCACTCCTCTTCCTCCGGCGGGTGCGTAGATAAGGGCCAAGCGGGATGATTTAATCCTTTGGGAAATGAGCTTGAAAGCGGACCAAGCCACGGATGAAACGCCGTATTGTTGTGGCAGGGAGAGGGGACAGTGGCACCGCGACCTCGGCTACCCGCCTGGCCCCTGCTCCTTTCCCGGCTCCGTGATGCCAGTGACTCACAGTCCCCAGCCCTGGGAGCCAGCCGGGCTCATTTGGGATGGTTGGCACGGGGATGTCACCCGGGATGGCGCACCCGCTTTGGGGATGCACCCCAGGGGTTGGATTTGGGGCAGGGGGATCCGGCGCCCCCCAAATCTGGCACCCCCCCCGCTCATCCCCCACCTTTGCCACACCCTCGGCTGCCCCGGGGCTTTCCCTACCCCGACAGGCCTGGCACAACCGGTGCCAGGGCAGGTAGGAAAGTAGGTCAGGAAAAACCCCGGCCCCACGCGTGCGGCGAGGGCCGGGGCCGGCGGCTGCAGCCCCGCAGAGGCTCTGCCTCCCCCGGCTCCTTTCATCCGCGAGCATCAGTGACAGCTCCGGCACCCCTGGGAGTCGGGGGTGCCGCGTCTCGCTCTCACCCCGGTCCCGCGTGGCGCCGGCTGCTCTCCCGTGGGCTTTTCCAAACGCTTTGAAACCCTCCGGATGAAAGGCACCCGGCGGGGGCTGCGGGCGCAGCGGGAGTGACCCCCCCGAGGCTCCATCCCCTGGTGCCACCTTCAGCGGGACCCCCGGCACTGAGGGGGTTGGGCTGAGACCCCGGAGTGAGGGGCTACCCTTCCTGCCAAGGTGGAATTTGGGGATGGAGGTGCTCGAGGCTCCGTGTCCCGTCTGGCAGTGACCCCAGTGAAGGACATTGGGGCTGCCCTTGCTCTCAGCTTGGTTTTGGGAGGGTGGCAGGGGACACCTGGGAGCCTCCAGCAGCAGCCTGGTGCATTCCAGCATCTCCAGCATCTCATCCCAGCTGGAATGTGGGATGCAGGGTCGTTCCTGAGCATCCTGTGAGCTCCCTCCTGGGCCCTGGAGCATCCCAGCCGCGCCTCTCGCAGCTCCAGGAGGTCACAGCGAGTGGTGCCATCACCACGAGAATCTCCAGAGTTTTTTTTTGGAGCTCAGAGCCCGAAGTGAGGAGCAGGTGGGAGCTCCACCAGCTCCTCGAGCCATCACCACCCCACGCAGGTGATGCAGCAGCTCAGGTTTTGCTCAGCACTTTTGTAAGAGCAAAGGGGACGCTGCGCTCCGGTTGGGGCTGAGATGTGACAGCAGATAAAGGCTGCCAGGCTGCCGCGTGACATTAAAGAGCCGCCAGGAAGAGGAGAGGACAGGTTTCAGATAAACAACGGGCCCCTTTCCCCGGTGGCCCACGAGGAGGGGCAGCGTGAGCTGTTTGGGTGCCAGGGAAAGCCCCTCCGGTCAGAGCAGGATGCTCCGGCACCGCCAGCCAGACCCAGGCTCGGTGCCCGACCCTGGCAGGGCACCGGGGGATTTCTGCCCCACAGGGGCCGGGGATGAGGGAATCCCTCTTGCCTTTCGCCCTGGGGAGGGTTTCCCTGCTGCCTACCTGGGCAAAACCACAGCTGGATCCAGCACAAGCTGCCCCCAGATCCCTCCTCTGGATCCTGGGGTCAGGGCAGGCAGCAGGGGAGGAGGGTCAGGAATGAGGAACCCCCTTGGCTCAGTGAATGCCAGTGAGGGGGACGGGGGATCTCCTGTGACACCCCCAGGGGGATTTCCAGCCAGGGTGGGCTCGTAGGAAGGTTTGCTCCAAAGGTCAGGGGGCAGGAGAGGAGCCAGCCCTGCGTACCCCGGGCAGCTCAGAGCTGGGGCTCCCGTGACTCCCCGCTGTCCCTGGGGCCTCCTGGGGTGTGCAGGATGTGGTTTGGGGCAGAGCAGCAGCTGCACAGGGCTGCTCCCCTCTCCAGCCCTGCTCACCCCCTTTTCCTCTCTCCCCAGGCACTTGGGACTTGAAGGACTTCGTGGAGGACTTTGAGCTGGGCCACCCTGTGGCCTCAACCCAGTTCCTCACCAAAAACTACAAGGATTAACTCTGGCCATCCCTTCCTTGCCCTGCACATCCCCACACCACGGAGCCACCTCTGCCCGGAGCAGAGGGGACCCCAGAACCCACCGAGGATGAACCCACCCTGCTCCCAGCCCAGAGCCACAGCTCCAACCCCAACCCCTCCCCTCCCAAAGCCAAGTTCTCTTTCCCCCTGGGGGACGTGCCAAGAGGTATCCCAGCTCTCCTGGCTATCCCAGGAATTCTGGCATCACCCCTTCTCCTCCCTTCACCCCATTTCTGACTTGACTCCCTGCATGTCCCCCTGGCACTTTGGGGACTTTGAGTTTGATGCCTGCAGCTTCCCGAATAAAATTTGGATGGAGCACAGGGGGCTCTGTGGTGGCAGTGAGCGCGGGGCAGCGGCAGCGCCGGGTGAATCTGGCATTTTGGGATCTGCATGGGATGAGCAGACCCCTGTGGGTGATGGGAGCAGGGGGTGGCCAGCCAGAGCCTCATTTAGGTGAGCCCAGGGTCACCCAGGAGGGGACATGGTCCCTTGGTGGCACCATGTGGGAACCGGGCGCTGCCCCAGCCCTGCCTTTGCCCTCAGCCCGTTTCTCTTGGAAAGCAAAACCAAAATTAAAGGTATAAATCAGCAGAGCTCTGCCTACTGGCCACTTAGCCGGACCTCCCTTTTAATTAGCTCCTTAATTAGGCTTTCATCTAAGACTCAGTTTTCTCCAAGGCTCAGATTCACCCGCCTGCAGGTCCTCCTTGAGGCACATCCTGGTGACAAAGCCACCTCTGTCCTGCCCATGGCCAGGAATAATATTCCCCCTGGAACAAACCATGGGCAGCAGGAGCCCAGGACATTTTGCGAGAGGGGGAAACTGAGGCACAAGGGGATGACTCACTCAGGGCTGTGCAGGGAGGCCTGGGATACTTCAGAGGGGTGAAGGTTGCTGCATCTCAGCTCTGCATCAGTTCCTGGGTCTGAAACAGAGTGACCTGATCCCAAAAAAACATCTCTGTGCCATCCTGCTGGTCACCTGCCCTGGGTCCCTGGAAGTGAGAGCAGATTTCAGTCCTGCACTGGGGAGTTAAACATGGATTTCAGTCCTGGGGGGTTAAATGTGGATTTGAGTCCTTCCTGAGGGGTTAAATGTGGATTTGAGTCCTTTCTGGGAGGTTAAACATGGATTTCAGTCCTTTCTGGGGGGTTAAACGTGGATTTCAGTCCTTTCTGGGAGGTTAAACATGGATTTCAGTCCTTTCTGGGAGGTTAAACGTGGATTTCAGTCCTTTCTGGGGGGTTAAACATGGATTTCAGTCCTTTCTGGGGGTTAAACGTGGATTTCAGTCTTGCCTGGAGGGTTAAATTTGGCCAGGGCTTTCCCTCCAGGAAGGGCTCTTTGCCTGAATCCCACCAGGGCCCCGCAGAGCTCCTGTCCCCTCCAGGAGGGATCGGGGAATCCAGGGGGGATGCAGGAGCAGGGTCCAGGCTTGCCCTGAGCACACGACACTGGATGAAGCTGCAGGAGCTGGCGGGAAGGAAAGCAACAAAAAAAGGAAGCCGGGTAACACCACAAGCCAGGGAAAAAAACACGAACCCTGCTGCCACTGGCGCTAAGATTAGCAGCAGAGGAAATGACACAGTGAGATGTCATGGAAGTCTGCTAAAGTTGGATTTCTCCTTCTCTTTTTCTATCCCTGCCCTCGGAGCAGGGTGTAATTGGCCCGGCAGGTCGGAGCAAGGCTCCAGTGTAAATAAGAGGTCACGGCTCAGCTGACATCCTGCAGCCAAGCTCCATCATCCTTCCCTCCCTGCCCTCAGCTCCTTGTGGCTGGGGTGGTTATTTTTGGTGGAGAAAAGGCAATCGGATGTTTATCCTTCTAGGAAATTATCACCTCACTCCTGGGTTTAACGGGATGAGAGGAGTCAAGCTGAGCTGGGATCGGGATCACCGGGAGCCAGGACCCGGAGTGATCCACTGCCCTGTGTGACACTGATGGAATGGGAATGGGAATGGGAATGGGAATGGGAATGGGGATGGGAATGGGAATGGGAATGGGGATGGGGATGGGAATGGGAATGGGAATGGGAATGGGAAAGAGAATGGGAATGGGAATGGGATGGGATGGGATGAAGAATGGAAATGGGATGGAGAATGGAAATGGGAATGGGGACAGAGATGGAGAATGAGGATGAGGAGACAGATGGGGTGGAGATGGAAATGGAGGGGGGAAATGGGATGGACAACAAGGATGGGAGTGAGGATGAAGATGGAGAAGGAGATGGAGAATGGGGATGGGGATGGGAAGAAAATCAGGATGAAGAAACATGAATGGAGATGAGGATGGAGATGGAGATGGAGATAAAATGGACTGTGGGATGAGATGGATGGGGATTGAGAATGGGGATGGGGATTGGGAGTGGGGAAGAGGATGAGGATGGGGATGGAGAATGGAAATGGAAATGGGATGGAGAATGAGAACGGGGATGAGGATGAAGGTGGGGATGGAGATGGAGATGAGGACAGGGATGATCAGGAATCTGCCCAGCTGGCTGCAATATCCCTGTGTTGGGCTGATCCCTGCCAGGACACAGCACCAGGCACCCGCGGCCTTGTGCGGGCACTGGGCCCACTCAGGGCTGCAAACGCAGCAGCTCCGGCCAGCCCTGCACCACAAACTCTCACTGGGATGCACATGAGGCCTCCACGGCGTGGAAAATATTAATTGTGGTTTTCTGGTTCACTTTTTGATTATTTAGAAAGAGCAAAGGGAAAAACTCACAAAGAGGAAGCCACGTACAGTCACTTTGTGCTGGTCCCACCCTCTTTATCTCTCCTTCCATTCGCTCACCATCAGCGCGAGAGAGAAAAGAGAAGCTGAGCCTCTAGACTGCCTAAATGTAGAAAGTTTTGCTTCTAAATCAGTTTGTGATAGAAAGGAAACACGTCACGTCCCTGGGGAAGTGGCTGATTTTGAGCAGCCACAACCCCAGTGCCGAGCGCTGCAATGGAACAGCCCAACACTGAAATAGCTCCACGCTCTGTTATTGTCACCCAGAGAAGGTGGTTTTTTTTGCTGTCTACAAGTGTCATTTTTAGCCTCCAGAGGAAGTTTTATTTGTATTTGTTACCTCGACTTTCCACTGCCATGGCTTCGTGACTTTTTCGTGTGTAGGACTGGGAGAAAACAGAGTGGGGTGAGCTCAGGTGTGTGGTCGCTGGGGTGTAAGGTGGCACCTACAGCACAAATGGCATATCCCAGGAATTCCAGCATGGATTCACCAGCCCTGCAGAGCCCAACTGCATTCCAAGGCCACAAACCCATGGAAACACAGAATCCCAGGGATTTTGGGGGTTGTGAGCCCAGGCATGGCTGTGGGATGGACATAGCTCCCCTTTGCTCTCCCCAGGATGGGGCTCTGAGCTGGGTTTGGGCAATTCTAGCCCCTTCCCAAAGTGAACCCATCCACTCCATGGGATGACTGAGGGAGAGGAGGATGTGGAGTTTCAAAATTAACAATGAACTTGTGAAAATCGAGTGCGCCTGGTGAGCAACAGCAGCAGCCAGCAGCACATGGGGGGTGTTCCTTCCCAAAACTGGGCTGGAGGCCAGGAGAAGCTCATGCTAAACACAAGCCCTAAGCCAACAGGGTAACAATTACCTGTTTTTAATAATCACCAAAATAATTAATGGGAGAAAGTCTCAAGGCTCAAGGGAGGCAACTCTGGGTCTGATGCAAAGGGCCCACCCCAGGAAAATGCAGATTTAAGACTGGGGGTATTAAGGAGCAGGGGCTGGAGGACACTCCTGGCACCCCCAAAGCCTCAGTGGCACCTTGGAATGCCACGGGGACAAGCCAGCTGCCAGGAGCTCAGCGGTGCCAGGCAGCAGCTCCCCCTCAGCCGGGGACTTGCTCAAGAAGGGATTAGCAGGATCAGCTGATGATGATCTAAGCGCATAACTATATCAACCTGCAAATTAATTACTGATATCTCACACCTCGGAGCTCCTCTATCTGCAGATCTCTGCACTCCTCAAGCGTTCCCTGAGCTAAGCTTGGCTGCACCCCCCGGGAAATAGGTCAGGAGCGATAATCCCCAAATCCCCACGTGCTGCTGGGGATGCTCGGTGTGGGGACCAGGAGCGCTGCTCGTTTTGGGAGCCGACGTGGGAGAATCCCCCGGGCAGCTGAACATCAGCAGCCGCACGGGATGCTGAGGCACCCGGCTCTGCACGTCAGGCAGCGGGTGGGCGATGCCGGGATGATCCAGTGAGGAGCTCCCAGCCCTCATCCTCGTGCTGGAGACACACAAAGCCCCCGGTCTGGGGGTCCCCTCGTGCCGCGGGGGTGGGGGTGGGATGCTGGGATTTGCTGCTCCAGAAGCCAGCAGCCAGGCGGGCCCTGGGAGAGGCACCTGCGCCATGGCAGGAATTTAGGGCTCCTGAAGAAATAGGGAAGGCAGGCGAGGCGAGGACAGGGACGTGTCCCCACCTCTGTGTCCCCACCTCTGTGTCCATGCCAGCACCCAGAGGGGACTGGGGGGCAGTGAGGGGCACGCAGTCTGGTCCTGCAGTGATGGTTTCATTAATTAGCAATCATTAATTATTATTTGGCCTCCAAAATGCCGTATAGCATCAGAGGAGCTTAGTGGGGCTGTCTGGGGGGCCAGGGCCCTGTTAGAGCTGGTTTGGTTTTGTGGTCCTGGACCCCCATCCTGCTTACTGGGGCTGGACCATTGAGCCAGGCTCTGGCAGCATCCTGGGATGCAAATTCCAGCTGTTTCTGAGGGAAAGCAGCAGCTCAGCTGTACCCAGAGACGCTGCCAGGCATGGGATGAGCATTCAAGAGATGCTCGGTGGGGAGAAACTCAGCCCAGGTTTTGTTTCCTCTTTCAGCTGCTCCCTGAGTCGCTTTGAGCTGGGTTTGTCTGCGGCAGTGGGAAGCTCCCAGCCTCTCCCACTCCTCCGGGAGCCACGAGCACCTTCAGATGTGGTTTGCCCCAAAACGCTCCTCGGCAGAACAAAAAAAAAACAAAACAAAACAAAAAACCCCAAAAAAACCAAAACAAAAACCCAAAGCATTTTTGACACAGTGGTCCCAGCCCAGCCGCTTTGCTCCTGCCCAGGAGCTGCCGTGCCCCTGGCACTGCCCAGTTTATCCCAGCTGGCTCGGGATGAGGCGGATGCCCGCCGGGCTTTGCATCCCAAGGTGTGGTGGAAAGAACCGGGTGGCTCTGGCAGCCTCCCCTGCTGCTCCCCGGCCAGGACGGACGGACTCGCCCCGCGGCCCCGGCCCGGCCTGTCCTCACTTGTCGGCAGCTCTCACCTCCCATTCCCTGCCCGCAGCCCCGCGGGTCCTCAGCCAACCTCAC